ACGTGCGTTCTTACACGACCATACAATTTTGATGAAATTTCGTTGTAGTTGTTGTAACACCAATAATCTCTTTGTTTACTATACATATATATATATATATACATATACATAAAATTTTATATAAAAATATTTTAATAGCATCTTTTTTTTTTATACCAATACGTACACACAAATTATGTAGGTTATTTGTAGGTAAATATACAATATCTCAAGCAAAACCTAGTAGATTGGTGTAAGGTGCTGTCAAAATTCTGTTGAAATAATCTTCTTAACCCTAAAGTTCTTATCTTAACAGCTATGACTGAAGTACTGTAGAAATTTGTACACGATTTTAAGTAAAAATGGTTAGCACATCAATAAAAAAAAAAGACTCACTAAATCACATTTATTTTTCTTATAGCTTACTTTTGGGTCTATGTTTGAGAGATAGTACATCTCTATTTTCAAAACATACTCAACGAACTTTTACTTTAGAAATATAAATTTGTTTGATTTTATTTTTGCAGTAGTTTAATTACAAGATAAATGATAAATAAAATATTCAATTAAATATTTAATTATTCAATTAAAAACAAGTAAAAGATTTAGAATTGGTTTTGACGAAGCTTAAATACACTCTATACAGTGTTGTGATTTTAAGTTAATTGTTTTATTTATTTATTTATTTTTTTATAGATTTAAAAAATAGATATAAGTAAGAGACTTAAATTTGGTTTCGACGAAGGTTAAATACGCTTCATGCAGAGTTGTGATTTTATTAGTTTTATAAATATATAAAAATCTCATTATTAATAATAAATGTATTTAAAGATATTTATCAAATTTAAATATATTATTTATTAAATTTATATATATTGTTTATTATATTTAGCCATGTATAAAAGATGGCTGGACAACGTGGTCAACGACATTAGAAAAATGGGTACTTAAAATTGGAGGTCTAAAACAACATTTAAAGCAGAATGGAGAAAGCTAGTTGATGCAGCTAAAGCTCACCCGAGTTGCAACGCTGATGATGGTAATATTTTTATATATCATTTTTATTACATATATATATTATTTATTATATTTATATATATTATTATATTATTTACTATATATATATTATATCTATAAATATAAAATATATTATATATAAAATATAAACAACTTTTCTTCATTAAAGTTTAAAAAAATTGATCGAGCGAAGAGAGCCTCCAAATACACTTGGTCAAGTTTTTTGCAAATAAGTCACACCGATAGTATTATGGAGCTACCCATAAGTCGCAAGAGTTCATAAATAATAATAAGCAATACTTAATTAAAATTGATTTCTAATAAAGAATCTTTTTCCTAAAAAATGTATCAAAAAACTGCGAATATTTTTAAGTATTGCCCAATATATATATATAACAAATATATAAATATATAACATTTTGTTGGCGAATTATTTATTTAATTATTTGACAGTTAGAATTTGCATTTGATTCGTTTTAAAGATTTTATAGGGCAGAGTTTCCTATACTACATTATGAGAAAACTTTGCGATATGTTTTTATAAGGACCGGCAGATTATGCCTCGAAGATGAGGAAACGAGGAAACGACACATTCTTTGTGACTGTCCAGCTTTAATAACGCACAGAAGAAACCTGATTCATAAAGAATTTCTGTCACCAGTACTGATTAAGAACTCTTCTCTAGATTTAGTTCTAGACTTTATTCACAAAGCTTTAAGGGGCTTTGTTTAATCAATAGTGAAACTGGTACAATAGGACTCTTCTGGCCGCAGTACCAGCTGTTGGGCAAGTTTCACGTCTACTCTTTAATAACAAATGAGGACCGGCAAAATATTCAATGTATTTTTCAAAAACCAATAACTATATCTTTCTAATATAAAATAGAATGGCGAATATACAATCATTTTCGGAACAAATATACTAAGGATCGGTGATTGAATAACTATATTATGGAGGACAAGACTATTTCATTTAATTTTTTATGTTATTGCTTTTGGGAAAACCTGACAATAGTCAAAGATTAGCAAAGACTTTTCAAAAATAAGTTAAAAGCACACAAACAACTAACTGTTGGTAAACGTTGAAAAAAAAAATGGTTTATGTAGCTTAGTCATCTATAGATCGAGCTACTGAAAATTGTATAAAAAAAGACTTAAAATATTTTTGGATATCTAAAGTTTATAAACTGATATCTTAATTTTAAAATATAATAACAAATAAAGAATCAGTTTTTATATTGCATAGATAAGGTTGAGTTGGAATGGCGGCCTTGAGCCTTAAGCCCGCTTGAGCTCAAACAAATAATGAACCGTTATGTTATCACGGATTAAGGTTGTTCATACGTTTTATATTGTATAAGTAACATTCAATTATGAATCAATTAATATAAAATTCAATGACTGCTTTATTAATAGTCTATATTAATTTTGTACCAACATTTTTACTAAAAAAGTGGGTATATCATATAATTAGTTTACAGAAAATATATTTTAAATCTGAACCAATCAAAAAATTCAATATGTGCTTTATATAATAAATTGTCTATAACAAATTTGAACCAAATTTTTACTAATAATATGGGTATATGATTTAAATAGTTTACACTAAATATTTTTTATAGTACATTAATAGCGATCTGCTATTTTCATCATTGTAGGAAATGTTAAACAAGAAATTTTACTTAAGTATTGTATCAGAGACGGTGTAGGGAGAGATTTTGAATTAATTGGTAAACGGGAATTCTTGATAGGCGTCACTCTGTTTTCATTAGGTATGGGGAAGGCATAATTTTTTGATTATATATTTGTTGGAGGTACAAAGCTGTTAACATTATTGTTGCAACGCAGCTAAGGAAATTCATAGCGAAGTAGTGAACTTTTAAGTAGTTGTCTTTTAAGATGTGTGGCTTTGAGATATAGATCTGGTCTCTCTTGTAAATGTCACTTTTAACTGTTTGAACGGTTCGATTAGAAATCTATCGTTACTCTATTACTTGGTCATCTTTAGAGACGTGTGACTCTCTGAAACAAAGAACTTGTTGCTTCTCCTAAGGTTGCAGTGTATAGTTTAATTGGAGAAATCTATCTTTATTTTTTTTTATTATTATATATATTTATATTAAATATAAATAATATATAATAAATTATAGTAACCCATTTCGAACCAACGTGTTTCGAAACCATACGGCTAGCTTTGAATATTTTTTTTAATATTCAAAGAATATTTAATATTTTTTAGGTAAAGATAAAGTGAGAGTAATCTTTCATATAAATATTAAACTTTTCACATTTACTTTAACTTGTTTAATTTTACTATTTACTATGGAAAAATTATATATATTACAATTCTTCAATTTTTATAAAATTTTTGTCTAGAAACGAAAAAAGTACCAAATGGACTAATATAGCTTCAAATATTACTAGATTAACATTATTTGTTTCGTAAACTAAATTTAAAATTCCTGGAAATTATTTTAAATTAAATATATTCACAAAACAAGATAAGCAGAAAATGGTAAGGTGTATAGGAAATGTAATATATAACGACAAATTAAAAATCGTATGTATTTGTCTGTATTTACATTTAAATATAATGAAAAACCGCTTCTTTATTACAAAAATTAATAGCTTGTGCAAATATTTTATCAAATCTTTTAATATTAATATTAAAATAAAAAAAAAAAAAACAATCGTTTTAACTTACGTTATTTATTACAAAGTATGTAAAAAAGATTATTCAAATACGATTTTATTATGCATATATAATGGGCTTTAAAGCAATTAATAATGCCAAAAACAAAAATTGTCATGCCGACTACCAACCCACGTACCTCTCTTTAGGTAAGAAAGGTAAATTTGGGTCTTAAATTTTCTTTTAAATTAGTAAACGTAATAGAAGAAAGTAGTCGATTTTAAATACATATATATTTTTGAAACTATATAGAAATTATAATATTAAAAAAAATCATTTTTAACTTGAAATACACAATTTTGGCATCAATTTTTCAAATACAAAAAAAAAAACTTTGGTATATTTTTTATGTTCATATTTCATAATTATTGGTTGTTATGTTAACTTGATGAAAGAATTTACTATTTAATTGCTTGTATCAAAGATAGCAGAGTATTTTTTTTTTTTTGTTTTTCAATTTTGTCTTTCTTGCTGCCAAAATAAACATGAAATACACGAAATCTGCCCTTCAAAATAGATGACTGTTCATGTTAACAAGAACAACAATAAAAATGACAACAACAAAGATTGGTAGATTATGGAGTCAGTGGAATAAATGATTGCAGCCATTTTCTTTCTTAGTTCCATACAAAAAGGAAATAATTTTGAATTGAAAACTTTATTGTAAACAAATTTTTTAAAATACTTATTTCTTCCTCAAATACATGCCAATTAAAAATTGCTAATGTGTAAATACAAACATAAATATATATGTATATTGACATATATAACGGAAGTATTTAAAAATAATATCGTATTTTTATTTATTTTAAAATAAACTAAAATAAAGTAACATGACCGTATACGTACTAATATATGTAATGAATTAATTATTTACATATTAATTAAAAAATTTACTTTATATTTTATATTATTATATAAATATATTTATATATATTGACTGTACGTTTTTTTTATGTTCGTGTATCATCAGGGCAAAGTAAACGGAAGAAATTTTTCAAACATGAGAGATTTACAATAATAAAAACAACAGCTGAAAGGGAGATAGGAGTATATCAAGAAAATAACATATATATACATTCAGACATACATACACCAACACAATCGTTTCTCTTCACAAAAAAACACCTGGCGTTTATAGTGAAAAATAAATATTATTCACAAATAGAAATATTCCAGAATGCACAAGAAATTAATTTTAAGACACACCTAAATGTTATATATATACATATATTTAAATATAAATGTATTAAAATTAATTATCTATTAAAAATTAAAAATAAATATAAATAAAAAATGTCTTCTTTTCTTACCTTTTCCTGCTCTGTTTGTGGATTAATGCAGGGACTAGGCTGAGCGCTCATTATTCTGATTAATTCAATTCAATTAAATTCACAAATATATTTCAGCAAATTTATTTATTCTAAAAAATAATTTTATACAAAATAATTTGATAATTTTTTAATAAAACAAAATTTTTCTTTTGTTCGACACTCGAAACACACATTACGTCGAGGAAAAAAATTCCACTCGTTTTTTAATATTGTTTCTTTCTATTTTTTATTATACGGCCATTTTAGATTTCTTTTAAATATTTTCTCAAATTATGCATTTAAATAATATCACATATTTAAAACTTACTTTTCTGCAATAATTTCACAATAAAATATTTTATAATATATTTAAATAATCACTTCCAAAATACATGTATTATAAAAAATTCGCAGATCAAATAGAAAATATGGATTCACTTCGTTAAAACGCACTAACAAATGACTTCATATTGTGGCTTCTCTGTTGCAAAAGTATATGCATCCATCTCTTTCTACGAAAAGTGGTTGTCTTATTCGAGATTCTTCTTGTAACCTTTGTATTCACAATATGTATTTTAATCGTACTATCGTAATACGTTAAGCCGCTACGTTTTAAAGATATGTGACCCTTCAGTAAGCGCCTAAAGTTTTATTTGTAAAAAGAAAACTTATAATATGGTACTTTAATTTGTAAGTATGGTAAAAAATGTTTGTTATGTTTTTTTATATAATAAATTTGAATAAAAATAAACTGGTTGAATTTTATTAAAAAGTTTTTATTTTAAAGATTGCGTTTTGTATTTATTCGTGAATTATATTTTTTAATGAACGCAATATTAAATTTAAAAATTTCTTAATAAACGATTAACTTTAGTTAACTTCTGTAAATAATAAACAGCTAATTGGAGTTATGGTTTTGCTTCCAAAAATCATTTCCAGGAGATCGGCACTATTGAAGTGCTTATTTTTTCAAATTTTGTTTTTGCTTTGCATTTTAATATTTAGGCGACACGTTTTATTAGAGCTTTCATGTCAAAAGAATACACCTAGATTTGTTATGAAGTGAGCTGTAAGTGATAAATTTTTATTTTACATTAAATGCAACAACAATTTCCGTGTCGTGATTGCAATCATAACATACCCCTAGCGATTTAGAAAAAAATGTTATCAAAGCGATACGCGTTCTATTGTGAACTGTCAACGAATATTCCAGTCATCTGTCAAAAGTTTGCAAGAGATTTTATAACAAAAATATTTATAACAAAAATACTATGTGTTTAAAAATTGTATAAAAGAAATATTTCAGAAATAAAAAAAAATATTGAAAAATAATGGACAAATCGTAAGTACAAAGCATATTGAATATTTTTTATACATTGAATATATTGTTAACAAGTATCATTTATCTTATTTTACTTAATTTATAGTTAACATGTGTAAAATTAATTAAACGTTAACTTAATTTTTGTTGTTCTAAAAAATTTTTTATAGAAATAAACGCAGATTATGGAGTACAGAGGAAACGATATGTTTTTTACAGTGCTACCTGGCACGAAAAGAAGAGTTTTCAGAAGTAAGAAAAAAAAGGCTTGGATACCAACATGTCCTTGAGGACATGATAGCATATGGAATTGCAGTAAGTATCACATTACTTCTGTAATTTATTTGAAATAAAAATTAAATTGATTAAAAAAAACATATATTTTTAGGATGACATACTTACTCCAATCTGCTTAGAAAGAAGAATGCGCACACTTGTAAGTGTTTTTAGAGCAGCCAAGAATAACAACAGGGGGACTGGAGCATCGCCGTGTTTGCCACCATACATGCAATTGATGAAAAAAATATTTGGCAATAAACCAATTATTTCAAATAAGCGCACTGTTAGTTTAGAGTTTAAAAGTGATGTGGAGGATTTAGAGGAATTAGAAGAGTTAAAAGTCAATATACCAACATATGCTGAGCTATTACCAACACAGGAACCAAGACAACATTCAAGATCAGTAATCAACAAAAGAAAATCTTTGCGCTCAGCATATTATGAAAACAAATTACTTATCCAGAAAAGGATAGGCGAACAAAAAATTGCAATTTTTAAGGAGAAAATGAGTAAATTGGTGGAAGAGGTAAGAAGAAAATGGAATCGAGAATTAGAACTGAAGGAGAAGAAACTAGAGTTGGAAGAAAGGAAATTTGAACTGCTTAAAAAAATTGTTCATAAAATGTAAAAATATATGAATTATAGAGATTAGTTATGTATACGTTTAAATATTTTGTTAATAATTAAAATATAAGTTAAAATATAATATTTTTAACTTCATTAAAAATAAATTATATTCTTTTTATATAATATATATTTAAACATATAATATATATTAATACAATCTTAAGATTGTACTATTTATTTTATTTTTGTATAAAATATTTTAAGTTCAAATAAATTTGTAATAAAATAGGTTAATTTGTACAAATAAAATTTTCTATTTAGAATAAATATATTTATATAGCAATACAACTAGTGAGATAAAGTTCCTAGTAAATTTAAGAATTTTTATTACTTTATTTGTAAAGACTATTTTTTATTAACACCTGATGTAGTTCATATTCTTCAGCCATTTGCAGTTCGTCCTTGCTGTCATTATTATCATTACTATATGATTCAGAATACTTGAATAAATCATTCATTATTATATAAATATTATGAGAAACACAAACGTTTACTACTTTAATTCTCTAGTTTACAAGTTACAAATAATAACACGTGACATATTTTGAAACAATTATTTTTGCCTCATTAATTTGTTATAAGATTTATTTTATTGACATCAACTAGAGAGATAAAGTTAATAGTAAATTTAAGAATTTTTATTATTACTTTATTTGTAATTAGAATATTTTAATTAATTCTTTACTTTATTATATATAATGATGTGTTTATACAAGTTTAAAAGTAATAGGCACGTGTTGCTGACACAACAGAAAGTGCGATAATTGATTACTATTAGTTATTCGATTATTTAATAAATAATATATAGTGCTTTAAAGAACTTATTGCATCTACACGAACAAGAAATTCGATGAAAATTGCATATATGTAAACAACGAGTGTCAAAATAAATATTGAATCCACTTCATTTAATATCAAAATATTCGAAAACGCCACTATACTATGTTCAGACAGCCAAATTTTCTTAATTTCGTCAAAATGAAATTAAGTTAATTTCGTAAGTGTTCATACTGTCCCAAATTAAGGAAATCATATGTTTTTTGTTTACAAATTACATGCTCCAAACATTATTTATATCTGGGAAATTTTAAAAGTTGATTTTTATAACTATAAAAAATGACATTCAGTAGTTTATTAGGTTTAGTGGATTTCAGGTATGTGAATTATTTTCACTATATTTTAAATAAATAACAGTTACAGTTTTTTTCTCTGTATTTAAATTTAAAAATTAACATTACTTTCAAAATATTTCCCGATTTTATTAAAGTCAACTGTCATTGACATTTAAAAATAAATGTTACTTTTATATTGTCTCAACTTATCTTTTACTTAAAATTTATCTTTCGCACAGTTGCATTTGAAATTTCCCTTAATTTCAGGCTTCGTTTCAACGAAATTGAGGCCATTTTCATTAATTTCGTTTTAACCTTAAAACTGAATTTTGTATGGAAAAAATCACTTAATTTTGCTAATATGAAGATGAAATTAAGATTTTTGCGAAATTAAGATGTGTTTGAACATAGTTTTACGGAGTTATATAATATATAGGCCTGTTGCGAGTTCGAGTAAATTGAGAGAAGTGGTAAATTATGTCGGTATGGCAGCGAATGTTGGTATTTACCAGAATTTTGAGTAATTTTGAGAAATTAAGTATTTCCGTAGTAAAAATTTTATAAGATGTTTAATAAATAAATAAATTTGATAACCTTTAACTAAAAATAATAAATAAGTGCAATAAATAAGTGTAAATAAATGTAAATAAATGCAGTGCACGAAATCCCTAGGAAATTTCAATTCACTTTATCTCAATTTACTCGAACTCGCACACGGCCATAATTTCGCTGAAACGAAATTAAGATTTTTGCGAAGAATATCTATATATATATACAGTGTATAACTGCATGATATACTTGTTTGTTATACTTGTGAAATCTGGCAACCTAGTTTTGATATATAAAATTTTAAAAACGTAAATATAGCATGATAAGAAAAAATTTATGTGAGATATTTTTAATCTACAGAATATATATATTTTTTTCTAATTTACAATACTCTACCCATTTCATTATGGTATAAATTAATTTAAAGACAACATATTTGCAATATCCATTTAACTGCAGTGGCTATTGTGAATGACATCTTAAGAGAAAAACAAAAGTGCAAGAAATAGACGGTAAAAACAAATTGGAGTCCATTTTTTTTAAATGCAAATTAAAGGCATATACAAAATTCTAAAAAAACGTTGTTGATCAAAAAGAAATTATAATCTTCTAAATATTTTTTAACAATTTGCGTGGTAGCGTAGAGTAATATAAATACGGTACTGCGAAAGTGGCTGAGAGAACACAAACAACAAAGAATATTGCGTCGCTTGCACAATTGTATACGTAGAAAAGAAGTCAGTTTGCGTTTAGAATTGCAACAAATTGGAAGTGTATCTGTCGTAACGTGTTGAAATAGAAGTTAAATTATCAATATGAGAATCACTGTATCTACTTTAACAGATAGAGATAGAGTTTTTATTTTAGAAGTGCCCGAAGATTTGGAATTGGAAAATTTCAAAGCTTTATGTGCAGAGGACTCCGGTTTTCCGGCGAGCCTAATGGTTATTCTATTTAATGGCAACGTACTATGGGATGATAAGAAATCGCTAAGGGATCATGGTTTACGTGATGGCGACTGTGTTGCTGTACAACGAATAAGACGCGATCCACCAATAGGTGCTTCAGGTTAGTAAAACTAATAAACTAATATCAATTAATCTTGTTTTTATTGCATTGCTGCAAATTGCACGCGAGAATTACTCACATGTATGTGCTAGATATGGCCATGAATTGCTTTCATGTCTAATTGGGTCACTGCACTCAACATTTGCTGGTGGTAAAGATATACTTTTCCAAAAGTATTTTTGAAAAATTATCAATAGACTTAAAAATAATGAAATACATACATGATTAAATTAAAATAGTATTGAGATATAATATTAATATTTTTAAAAAGCTTTTTATTTTTGGAACAGAATGCACAAGTCGGATCTATTGTTGCATATAAATGCAATGTTCCATAAATACTCATTAATTATGTTATCTGAACTGTTTTATAGTCTTAAAAGTTTTCCAAGATTTTCGTATGTAGATGAGAATCATAATATATATATGTGTGTATACATTAACTGAATCATCACTAAAAAACAGACAATTTTATTTATGTTTATATCACATTTGTTTATTTTTTCTGCAAATGTAGTAAAATACCAACTAAGCATTTTCTTAGACGAAATTCAATATTGTCATAGAATAATTTTTGTTTGCTTGCATATTTTATTAAAAACAACACAAAACTGTTGAGTCATCAATAAAAACATATTTCATAATAAATTTACATTAATTGTATTTTAATATAATAATCAGCATATAATTCATTAGAACACATGAATAAATTACTATATCATTTTAAATTTTAATAAAATAAACTACATTTAATATACAGTGAAAAATTGTAATTCTAGAAAAATCTTGAATCTATGATAATAATGTATGGGAATAATTATAAAAACCCAACTAAACTTTAAAATTATGTTGACTACGATAATTCCCCTGCATATATGGTATATATGTATTCTAAGAAGAGTAGTGATTTTCATTTCATTATGATTTTATAATATTCTAAAGTAAAAACAATAAACTGAGACATCGAAATGTACACGAGGGCAGCTACTCCGAAAGTTGTTGTTTTTGTAACTGTCTTCGAAACCCTTAAAGCCTATCATCTACTCCGTCATGGCGGCGGCTCAACACTTTAGGAGCCCCCCTTTCTTGAGTAACTTGATCAATTACAAGACCTCCGACTAAACAGCATTTTAAGCTTTGCCAAAGGTTCTAGTTGGTTTTAAATCCAAAGTTTCTTCCACATACCATTAGGGATTGCCGGTATAACCTAACCTAATCTGACATGTTCTTCTGCGGGTAAGAGGTTAAAATATTCCTAAAGTAAGGCATGCTTACGGTAAGTAGAGATAAAAATCTAGCAAGCATCATACGATACTATTTTAAGTAAAAATAATATTAAGTGAATTTCACTTGCGGCACACGACTAGATATGTAAATCTAGCCCTCTTATGGAAGTATCTATGGTTACGTGGGTGTATCTGAATATAATAACTGTATTCATTACTTTCATTCAATGTGAAGTTGCATTTTTTAGTCGGTCGCTGCGCCCCAAAGAACAGTGTAGGTGTCAGATAAAATCCACTCTTTCCCAAGGAAAAAAACTATATCCAAACGTATAGCTTCAATTGCTTTTGGTACAATTGCTTGGAATTCGAATGAGGCCCTTTCTAGTCACATTATACGCAAGCATGTTAAAAGCACCGTATTGTTAGGCATAACGGTAGGTAATCACTTTACAAAACTCTAGACTCTATATCTCTCATGTCCAATATTATATAAGATGTATACACGAAGGCAATCGTATAGTTTGTTTATAAGTATTGAATCTGAGTGTTTTAGCCATAAAATTAGATTAGTTGTATCGCCGGTTTTTGGATTGCACTGTAGTATACCAGTTACGCATCTATCGGTAACAGTAGAAAAGTGTTTTTATTTCCAATAAAATACTTTAAAAAAAAAGTTGTAGATCTATAAGTTATTTTCTTGTTTCTGGTAAGTGTTGTGAAGGAAATGCTTTATGTTGAATTATTAAAAATATGTGTATTTTTATATATAGTTTATATTCTGCGTAGATGCTATATTCAGTTACTGAATGTGGTTGAATACGTTAGGTGTAATACTGAGATTCAGAATTACAAAGATAGTAAAGCTATATTAAAGTAAAGATATTAAAGCTTTCACCGTGTTCACTTGGTTAAGGATTAGACTGATAACTCTAAAATGTTTAAGCTAGAAATTTTTTTGAGTTAGGGATTACGACTATACCAGGACACCAATATTTCGGTTTCAAACATTGTACATACCACGTTTTTGTCTGACCGAATTTCTTATTTAAAAAGTTGAACTATAGGATTAGTTTGATAAGTGCAAAAGTTGAAAGTGTAATTTGCTTGAGCTGAGGATTATGATGTACACCAGTGTCTCAGTTGCAAATTTTATATGAATCATCTTTTTGTCGTATTATTGAAAACCTAAGGGCTAAAACCGTCTCGTACTTTTGGCAAAGCTTACAAATCTATATAGAGGGAGGTCTCGAAGTTCGCCAAGATCCTCAAAAAAGAAAGCCCTTAAAAATTTAAGTCGACGCCGCACATGTGCTGGACAGAAACAAAGCAGGTGGGAGGCATTTTCGTCATCCTCACCACAACTGCGCAAAAATGGTTGAACGGGTGATTCAGTCTCCCAGTATGATTACCTAGAATACAATGACCTGTTAGTAAACCTACTGCAAGACTCATTTCTTTACGGAGCAACTCTAAGAGAGATTTCGATTTTCTGATGTTGGTCTGTGGCCACATTGCATACAGATGCCTGCATATCGCAGAGTTTTCCCATCTTTTGTTAAACAGTTCTTTTATACCCTAACACTAAAGATGTTTTTTTATTTAATGTGGCTATATATATATATATATATATATATGTACATGCGTGTTTTAAAAACAATTTTAAACATATTTTCTCTATAAATACAAAATTAATTTTGTTTGTATAAAACTTTTTGAAAAAATATTTGAAATTTTCCTAATTTTAAAATTCATTTAACCTATCGTTGACCTCACTTAAAAGGTGAAGGATATTTGAAATGCTCTGTTGTGGCACATAAATCACACCTAATTTTTAAATAAAAAACAATTACACCTTCGCAAATTGTGAATAACTTTTTTCTAAAATCGTTCAGTGTTTAATCGTTAATATTTTGTTGTCTTTATAAAAAACATTACAAAATTATTTTAATGAGTTAATATCTAAATTGGTACTAATGTATATATGGTAGATATATTGTATTTGTACACATTCATACATAAAACTGCAAGACATCTCTGACTCATCAAATCACTGTCACGTTTGCTAAAAGCATTATATTTTGTCACGCCAAAAATAAAAAACAATATATAAACATATTTAATAAAAAAGAATATTCTATATAATAAAATAAAATTTTTTAATTAAAATTTACTATATATTATTAATTTTTTCTTTAAAGCCACTGCAAGTGCAAGTGCCAATGCTATTAGTAACTTGGACTTTAGCAATATTGCAGTACCCGGTACGAGCACAGGTCCTAGTGGACAGCGTTTAGGTTCGAGCTCAAGTGCCAGTGGCAGTGGATATCGTTTAGGAGTTCCACAGGGTTTGGTGGATTTTTCCGATGCAGATGAAGCCAATGTTAACTACGATGATGATCCAGCACAGGTACGTCAAATGTTTCTCTCAAACCCAGAGTCTTTGGCTCTGTTAAAACAAAACAATCCTCGTCTTGCCGATGCTCTCCTTTCGGGAGATCTTGAAACTTTTACAATAGTTCTTCATGAACAGATCGAGCTCCGTAAGCAAAGAAATGCATTGCGTCTACGTATGTTGCGTGCTGATCCATTTGATACTGAAGCCCAACGTTTAATTGAAGAGGAAATCAAGCAGAAGAATATACAAGAGAACATGGCTGCTGCTATTGAGTATAATCCCGAAATATTTGGTACTGTTTCTATGCTGTAAGTATATTTAGTTATTGTGTAATTGTTTGGTTAATTTATAAGCAATATTTTTTATAATTGCAGTTATATCAATTGTAAAGTTAATGGAGTGCCAGTTAAAGCATTTGTAGATTCTGGCGCACAAACAACTATAATGAGTGCTGGTTGCGCTGAGCGCTGTAATGTTAATCATTTGGTTGATAAAAGGTATATTATAAAAGAACTTTTTAAATTATTTATACTATTATTCTAAAATTGTTATTTGGTTTAAAACAATTTATTCCCTTATTTTTGCAGAAGAGACTACTATTTAAATATGTTATAATTAAAACATATGATTGTCTATGTTGACTGTGCTTTGCTTCACTAAGAATCTTGAACCTCATTTTGTTCTGAATATGTTTAGGGAAAGATATGCTACTAATTTAAATAAAAATATTAAATCTTCTGTGTGAAATGTTTAGTATCCCACAATACAATTGATAGCAATCTATTTAAACCTTTTATCTAAAGCTGGCTTTAAATGAAAAAATTCAAATGATAAAATTTTTCATTCAATCAATTCCTTGTGTTATCCAAGATTGAGCAGTCACAAAAAAACTTGGTGATTGTCTTTTCTTAGCTCAAGTTTCTGTGACTTCTCCTAATTCAAAAATAAAAGTAGAAAGAAGTAGGTTGAAAAAACTATTTGAAGGAAGTATATAGTAATCAATACCTACCAACCTACCTTTAAAAGTATAAATTATATTGATTGAACTGAAATTTAAAGAAACCAAAGCAAATTATATATATATGCTACGAGTTGAACTCTCTTATTATTGAATATATTTTAGAATTTATGGCTTATAAAATTATATTGTTTAGATCATTATCAAAATAAAAGCGACCAACTTACAATAATATAATCCCATATCTAAATTTTACTCAAGATAATGATTAACTGATTAGAAAGTAGAAAATGTATAAACCAAAAATACTGCATTGTTTAAAAAAAATATTGTATATTCTATAAAAAGCAAAACTTTTTTTAAGCCCAAAAGTTTGGACTTACTAAGCAGGATCTCAATGATAGCAGAACAGATCTTTTAGATTGCATTGACTACTGCCCAGTCCAATATTAAAAAATAGATATTAATATGTCGTTTCTAAAGTTTAATCCATAAGTTAACGTTAGTAGCAAGAATAACGTCCCTCTGCTATCGCAGGAAACAGTAGAGCCAATGAGCTAGACAATGCACTACTTTTCCGCGAGACAAAATATTATTAAAGATTGGAATCTGGTAGTCTCTATCAACTACCCCCTGCGGTGAAAGGGTTAGATATTCCCGAGATAAGGCATGCCTGTTGTAAGAGGCGACTAAAATCCCGGTGCCGATCCAGCACTTATGTGAAAAGTGTGCATGGTAGTAAGTGATCCGCCCCACTTGCGACATTTGACTAGAGATGGTAATATCTGGCACTACGGGGATCAGTGGCTCGTAGCTTCGGCTGTGCTGACCAATTGAAGTTGGACTCGTAGTGGTTGTTGTTTAATACCCGAACTTACGCGGGAAGAATGATTTAGGTATTAATTAGTTTATCATTCATTCGGCGTGGAGTGCTTATTCATCACCAATATGGAAGTTATTTCTTACACACATTTGTTCATTGGCACCGGCGGAATTACTAAGGTGATTCCAATGGTGCGTCAATTGACGTTTCGTATCATTACGTTGTGTTTTTGAACACCGTAGTGTTAGGCCTCCACAGCATAGAACGCTACGTAAAATAACATAGAGATCTAGTCGCTATCAATATAAACACAGAATAGCTGTATTTCACAGCAAACTATCTTCTAGCTTATAAGCAAATAAAAAAATAATGCGATGTATTAGTCGTGTCATAGATATATCGACACCTTTTGCAATGGACCTAACATCAGTGAAGTCGCATATAAACGTGAATTTATGCCCTCCACACAAATACAGTATCCTCTTGCAGACCATGGTTGTCTTGCAACAAAGTTCTCAATAGACCCCGCCTAACATTTCCCAGGATGAATCTTTCTCGTGCTACAAGAACTTACCTAGTTCAATTGAGATTGGGATATAGCCATCTGCTAAACAGTTACTTGTCGCCTATTTGTGCTCCTATCCCAAAGAACACACAAATCACAGTCCAATCAACCTTTGTACACACTCCATTAAAGTGAACACTTTTCTTCGTCTTACTACTGGTTGATTTCAAATTAAATTCCACCCGGTCCCAATCTGCCCTCCCTCCTAACCCATGTATTCATCGTGTGATTCTTTTCATGTTATTTGCTGCTAAGATATCCGCGGGCTACAATAACAACAATAAACCCTTTAATAAGCTTAACAGAGAGTTCTAGACCTGAACCACTAGTCGTTTTTTGTTAGCGACTGCTATTATAAAAATAATAATAATATGTTAACATTATATTTAATTATTTGTAAACCATTTTTGTTGGTCTTAGTTGATATAATCAACACAAACGCACTTAGTTTTAAAAGCTACCTCTTTTAATACCAAGGAAACTAAATTTTAATCTTGATTTCGTGCTAAAAATAAATTAAAGATATATGTTACAATATTGTGCATTTCGGGTACAATATAATCAGATCAATAATAAAAAAGGAACTATTCTTCTCTTCTTTAAAATAGTCTTCATTTTAAGCTACACACAAATGCTAATGACTATTCAATTCTTCTAAATATCTATTATAAATCGATATTGGGATGACCTTCAGTTCTTTCAATAAACTCTCTTACTGTATCTACCGCTTTATTATGTTTATTCTGAATTGGTGTTTTAAATATATTTTAAAAATAGAAATTCCTTGGTTAAAACTGTTGAAATAGGTTTCCACGAATTTCGTCGTTCAAGATGAAATTTTTTCTAGAACGCTTGAAAATATTTCTAATATTTTGCCTTGCCTGTGTAATCTTGCAGAAGAAAGTCCGAATAAACAACACAAAGACAGCATTGAAAACATTTTCCATTGCCATAAGGTACCACGGATACCTTTTAATCTGAGAATGTAATCCAAACCTTCTTAGTATGTTTTCAGGTAACAGCCCAATCTTCATTTCTATAAATTTATGTGCGTATATTATGTGCCCTGTTTAAACCATATAACGAATTTTTTTTAGCTATAAAACTAATATAGCTTTAGCTATATGTTACATGTATTAATATTTTAACTAGTATATCCTCTTATCTTAAATTGGATTTTCGTTGAACCAAAGTACCTACATTTATAGGTATATTTCTGCTGATTATCAAATTAAATACTATTGCAGATAGATCATTAATTTTGTTGCATATCTGTGGATATTTTGAATAATACTGACTTCTTATCCTCCTTTTTTAATATTCTTACTAATGTATTTGTCAGAGATATTGTTATCAGTTTGGTAATCTTCTGTTAAATCCTTTCAATATGAGTAGATATTTGGTTTTGTTTTGTAATTCTTCTCATCGCCTTTAATATATTTTTATGCTTGTATTGTATTAAATAATATCTACATTGTTCATGGATATTTGAAAATCTGTATTATGTTTTTCCCTTAAACATAATGCATATAGATATTTTCTTGCTAATTTTTGTATAACTAAATCTCCCTTTCAACCTAATATGCCGCAGTTGTGGAGAGGACGCTGAAAGTGCCTCCCATCTGATTTGCTTCTGTGCAGTACATGCCCGTCGGCGTTTTCTTTTTTTAAGAATCTTGACGAACTGCAACATCTCCCTCTGAATAGCATTATAAGCTTTGCCAAAGGTTCTTAGTGGTTCTAACCCTTGAGTTTTTCATTATACGGTAACACAATGGGCCTATAGGCCCATAAGTGGATCTCTTGGGATCGCTGGTACAGTCTAATCTAACCTAACTTGTACATTTTGTTGTGGATAATTTATATAGTTTCCGAGATTTCATTTATAGATTATGTAAATATTTTAGAGAAATTTTTACATCTAATTAATCATAAATATTTCATCTATATTGCTTCAATATTTTTGAATCAATTATTTTAATAATAATAATAATTGATTTAATTAAAAACAAATAATGGATGTAGAAATTTATATAAATGTATGTATTTTAGTTAACTCTTCGTGTTCTTACACTTATGCATGTTCTTATTCTTATTTTTACTTTAATTTATTATAATTAAAGAGGACAATAGTACCCTGTGATCTATAAGTTCTATGATGTTCTACTTGGAAAGAGACTCCTAAGCTAACCTGGAAAAGTTTAGGCTGTTGATAAACTTTATGTTTCTTGATTTTAAATCTTAGACCTCATTCAATTTAAGAAAAGTCGTGCGAAGGTGCTAGACTGGTGTCAATGGGCATGAACAGTAATGGGACTGGGATTTTCTCTCTGAGCTTCACAGAATCTGCAGGTATCGGTGTTCTTTAGTCCCATTTTTGAAAGATGGTAGTTAACTGGAGGTAACCAGTGAGTAATCTGAGTTCAGATCCATTTTAATTGAAAAACCTGCCATTTTTGTTATTGACTCAAATAAGCTCTTAAGCTGCCTTAAGTTTTTGAAATCGGCGCAAGCCTTATTCTAATTCTTCTTATTTTTATTATTCTTATTCTTAATATTATTATTAATTGGTTCTTTGCAGTAGCTAATCTGCAGATACCCTTACATCTCACATAATTAGGAATTATTCACCGTTTTTATATTCGTTAGAAACCCCTGTAAATAAACTAGATCCATCCAGTTGAGTGTATGCAGATTAATAGAAATTTTGTTTTTACAGATGAATAAACTGATGATGAATACATCTCTATTTTAATCTTTTATTAACCAATGCTAGGTAGTCCATCCATAAATGAAAATCCTTTATCGGACCAAATTTTAAGGTCTATTGCGTTATCGCGTATTTATGAAAATTGTACGTTAATAAATAACGTTGGTGATTCTTAGTTTCGGTGAAATCATTGGATCATTGTTGATAGTTAGTTTTACATTAAGTAGAGTAGTGTGATACTATCTGATTCTGGGCAGTTAAGAAATGCAGTCACACTAAAGACAGAATGTATCTATTTGAGAAATTCTTATTATTGGTATTCTGCTACCGGTTTGACTTTGTTTTGAAATCCTAATAAATTTTTAAATGAATTTTTTTTTTGTGACATTTTTATAAAGCTTGTTTTATTATTTTTTGCAGATGGAGCGGTGTTGCTAAAGGCGTTGGTACACAACGCATTATTGGTCGTATCCATATGGTCCAAATGCAAATTGGCAATGATTACCTAGCATCAAGCTTCTCAGTACTTGAACAACAGCCTATGGATATGTTGCTAGGACTCGACATGTTAAAACGTCACCAAGTAATTAGAAATTAATTGTTTTCATCTCCAAAATATAATTATTAATAAATTTGTTTAAATTTGTTTAAATTTGTTTTAGTGCAACATTGATTTACAAAAAAATGTGTTGCGCATTGGTACAACAGGCACTGAAACGGTATTCTTGCCAGAAAATGAACTGCCAGATTGTTGCCGCGCATTCAATGAAGACGAGATGAGCATGAATGATGCAGAAAACAAGGAGATACAAGAAGCTATAGAAAAGAGTAAGGCAGAAGTTGGTAAGTACAAAAAATTATATGTATTTTTTTAGAAGAGTCTCAAACAATATCTACTTTAGCCTCTACGTCTAAACAAGCTGACTCTTCTAATGTAACATTTTCTGAGAGTGATATCAGCGATCTCGTTAAGCTCGGTTTCAAAAGAGAAGATGTCATTCGAGAACTACGTAATCACAATGGTAATAAGACACAAGCCACTGCAGCTTTAATAGCAAAATCAATAAAATTCTAATTCTAAATTCAAAGTAAAAAATGCATAAAATAAGATTAAAGTAAATATCTTATTTATATATATATAAGTATTTTATAATATTATTATATGGAAACTGAAACAATTTTAGTAAAAAATAAATAAGCCTACCACCAACATTTACAATACAAACTACCTCAGGCTACAGCATTTTTTAATATTACGATTACAAATAAATCACGAATTACATGTTAGAGCAGTAGTAAATTGAGGCGTGAGAGGAGAAGCATTAAAATACAAACTTAACAAAAAAAAAAACAAATTTGGAGAAGGAACTTAAGATATTTGTCTCAAATTTAAAAAGTTTTAATTAATTAAGTGTAACCGGTATTACATTTAAGAAGTATTTTTTACATTTTTGAATGATTTTTATAATGGATTTTATGGGAAGGAGTCAAACGTTTTAGACTAAAGTGAATTTATTTATCAAACGAAATTCTAAATGAAATAAATTATATAGAATGGAACTGGCTAAATTTAAGTTATTCAATTTTTTTTATGTAAACTAAAATACACATCAATAAATATATATTTTATAAAAACTATATTAAGATATTCATTGTTTAACTCTATTAACCATTACAGGGTTAACTTCTTGTTAAATATCAGACTTCGGAGTGCTTTACCCCGTTTACTTTGTTCCTCAATGATCTATTGCAACGATTTCAAGTTCCCAGTGATGTTTCGTTATAAATTGATCATTTTATTGATGTTGTAACCACAAATAGCAGACGTCTATGTATACAGTGACTTTATTTTTTTTTCTTTTTGAAGAAGCTCAATGGCACTTCACGTTATCCTGAGTAATTAAATTCCATAAATTTAGTCTGTGCGACCAGTTATAATTTATTCCCATACTGTCATGTTCAACTGGCAGTCGTGGTGGCTGTGGTTAAACCCAAATTTATGTGAGAAGAATTATTGTATTTTACTTGATTTGGCGTGGAGCTGCGTATCCACATTGGGTACTGTGACCCAAAGATCAGCAGAGGTATTTAAAGGCCTCGGTTCTTATGGAGGGGAAAGCTATGTCAAACACATGACTTGGTGCTGGCGGAAATTCCTTTGAGTTTCATATGGGACGTTTATCGGCGCATTATCTTGATACATGTGTTTTTAGAACAACCTGGTCTTTAGCCTTCAAGACCGGTAACCACGTTTAACAACTCTGGTTTCTGAAACTCTAAAACGTAATACATGTTTAACTTTAAAATTACCTAAAAGAAATTTTAAAAACCTCTTGACACTGGCGATCTAATAATACATTTTTTCCATACACATCGCATAAATATTTCCTTTCTTAACAAATATGTTACCTTTCTAATAGTAAAAAAGGGAAATATGCCCAATGTACTGTTTTCGACATTCTACGATCGTTACGAATCTGAGAAAGGCTCGGAGACTAGCTGATTGCTGGTGACTATATTTTCAAAATTCTCAAAGATTACATCAATCTTGGCACCACTGCGATCAACAGTAACAATGTCAGCCTGGATAAGTAATCCAATTACTTAGAACTTATAGAAAGTTCTGGAGACAAAACTTACGAAACCATGAATTGTATCAGCTTTATTAAAACATTGGCATATTTCAGCGAATTATAATCTATCCAAGAGGCAGTTGGATTAAGACGAAAATAGTGTCATTAATTGAGTGATTATATAGTGACAACACTAACCGCGCTTAATGACCGAGGAGTACACGTAATTGAGGTGCCTGCCGAGAAATGCTGAAGACCGAACCCCAACAATGGTTCCTTATGACCAAATAAATAATGTTGCCGTTTTTGCATATATTAGGAATCATGGGATTTATGCGAGATGATATACTTTATACTTCGAACTCAGTTTAGCTCGTGCTAATTATTACAAACTACTATACCAATTTCATTGTCGAGACTACAATGAAACTGGTAAATGACATTTGGTTGTCATTTGTGTCAAGTGGCTTTAAAATGTAGCAGCTTCTAGAATCTCTCATTCCAGTCGTATTTGTTTCTGAAAAATGGAAGGTCTGTTAATGGTAAGTAGTTAAAGCCAAAAAAGGATCAACTCCTCCTTGTTTAGCTAAGATATTCGTTGCAATTCCACATTCCTCCCAATAAATGTGAACATCTAGTTAATACTAATGTTGGAAATATCGCTAAGTGAAGTAGAGAATCGGGAGCCAAAAAACCTAAGCCTGGTTCTGGATGAGTCTTGACACATGCACAGCAGGTATTCCAGTGTCTTCACCTCTAATACCGGTAGTGTTGTACTTCAAAAGATTTAGCATGTCAGGCAGTTCTGTATAGTAAGATACATTAAGGCGAAAACGATACAATGGTCTGCTTATGTAGTAATTATGGGACCGCAGAGAAAGCCGAGCAGCATATACAACGCAAAATCGAGCTAACCAGACACAGAGGTAGGCCAACAACAAGATGGGATGAAAACGTGTATAATGATGCAAGAACGATTGGAGAACTGAACTGGAAGAGAGTAGCAGAAGATCAGGACAGATAAAGGCAGATCGTGAGGGAGGTCAAGGTTCCCACTGAATTGTAGTACTAAATAAGAAGTTAGGAAATGCATTCTTACGGTTTAGGATCACCCCAGGACCTAAGATCTATACTTAGTTTCGCAGAATTTTTCATATGACTTATTTTACCAATTCCTCTGTAGAAATAAAATAAATAAAAGTTCGCAATTTATTAACAAATTAAAATAATACAAATTTTGAAATCGATTAGAAAATATTTGTTTATTCCAATATAAAAACTTTTTCAAACACTTCTTTTTGCGTCTAGCGCCCAGTTTTTTTTATTAGTTGTATATTTTATTTTATTATAATAAGATTTAATAACGTAAAATTCTAATTTATCTATAGTAATTGTTTTGCAATTAATAAAAAAATATTTTGACAAATAAATTTAACAAACTCATAACATAAAATTCATTTAGGAAATAAGTTTAGTTAAAATAATATAGATACTGATTTTAATAATTATTTATAAATTTGAAAAGTAGATTTTGTTCAAATGACTTTAACATAATGGGTCATCTTTACTGCAATTGTTTATAGTATTTTACTATAGCATAAAATTTTACTTATAAATAAAATGTTCTATTCTTCATCATCTTCGTCATTATGATTATTAACATTACGTGATTTAGTATGGTTAAATTCATTTTCTGGATCGAATTTCATACCCTCTTCGTCATCTTCATCTTCGTCATCATCACCACCAACTTCAGCATTCTCAGCTTCCGCACGTTCTAATCTTCGCGCCAAATCGGCTTCATCAATAGCAGTCACCAACTTAGGTGGCATAATAACTTTAAATTCACCTTCGCATTCTGTTATTTTAGCTTCTATATTTTTAATAGCTGTGTCGAGCGCTTTCAGACCGTCAGCCTTTTTAGTTGTAGAAGTAGTCATAACATACCTAACAATTATATATAAAAATATTTTAAGTATAAACAAATTTTTTTTTTAGTTTACTTACAATGGCGGTGCAATTAAATTAATTCGTATTGGTAGTTCTTCAGTACTTAAATCAAGTCCTGTTCTTAATGCAGATTTAACAGCATCAATTCCTTCATAACCATAGCATGAACACTCAATGTCGGCACGTATTTTCACTGTTGGCGATACTAGTTTACGTTTAATATTGCTTAACAATACTTCTTTAGTTTGATCATCAAGACCGCATTCATCGAACACCGATGGATCCGTTACCGATTGCTTAAAAATGTCGTAGGCAACAGTTTTACTATTGTACTTCTTTTCGAAGTACCAGGCAGTTTTTAGATATAATTCTTCTAATTTTTCACTTGTATCGTATTCAAGTATATCAGCTACATGTCTTAGCAAAGAGTTCACTGCTTTCGCCTTTGCAAATCGTTCTGTGCATTTCTCTACATCTTCTGCAGAAACACGTCTTTTTGATAAATCTATGTATCCCTTATCCTTATCAACACGTATAACTACAACTGGTTCGGTTTTGCCCACTCGAATTAGTTTATTGATGGAGCGTATACGACGACGAGAAAGTTCAGAGAGTAAAATCATACCTTCTATATTATTATATTCAAGTAAATGTACGTAAGCACCCATTTCTGCAATTGACAGCACATTTACTACGACTACATCATCTACTTCTGGATATTTTTCACTATAAAAACGCGAAGCTAACGCCATTGTATTATAATTTATTCTCCGTTTTTATTTCTTTTAATTTAATTAATGAAAAAGATTTATGGCAAAATGATTTTTAGATTTGCGGTAAATTAGTGAAACTTGTAACAAAAACGTGTACAATTTTATAGAGTGGCATATGTACACGAAGAGAAACGTCAAATTATTTACAAGTACAGTACGGTTGAAAATGTCATTTATTACACAGATAAAAATGTTTGGTCTAAACAATGTCATCTGTTTATATGTTTGAGTAAATTGAGATAAATTGTATTGAAATTTCCTAGGGATTTTTTTCACTGCACTTATGAAAATACTTAATTATTTAAGTATATATTTATTACACTTATTTATTATTTTTGTTTAAAAGTTTTCAAATTTATTTATTAAACATCTTAAAGAATTTTCACAATAATAACACTAAATTTACCTAATTTTTATCTAATTTACCGTACTTGAAATTTTGGTAAATACCAACATTCGCTGTCATACCAACATAATTTAATATTTCCTTTAATTTACCATCAATTTACTTGAACTCGCACACGGCTATAATAATATTTAGTAAAGAATAAGAATATATATATATATGAAAAAAATTGTAATAGAAACTTAGGACGTGTGCAAGTTAGGCTAAATTGATGATAAACCAAATGGGAAATTTTTTGGGATTTTTTAAACTGCACACATTTAGCCATTTATCAACACGTATCGACACACTACATTATCGGCACAACTTAGAATTTCCCTCATTTAAAACGTAACTTAGCCTAACTCACACACGTCCTTAATAAAGAATATATATTCCATTAGCTGATTTAAAAAAAGTGTATAGCAAAGAAAGTTTAAATTTTATATATATGTATCAATTATTCGCACTTCATACAGAAAACAAAAAAATTATATTTTTTTGTTTCAAATTTTTTGAGTGGATACATCAAAAATATCTTAAAGTCGGTTTTGTTTTTTAGGAATTTTACATTTATTTCGTACGCTGTATTTTGTATGTCTCTATAAGTATTTCGGCAAATTCAATTTTGCCTTCATCAGGAGAGTTCCTAACACTATTTCTATTATAATTAGAAATTCGAATTCGCCGAAATACTTGCTTTTAGGATTTAAAAAACAAAATGGACTTTTAAAATATTTTTGTTGTTTTCATAGAAAAATAAGAACATAAAAATGTTATAATCATACCTGCTAGTTTTGATAAAAAAAGACTATATAATAATGTAAATAGTATACAATTTCATATATTAATCAACAAATTTTTAGAAATGTTAAAGTTTATTTTTTGTTTTAATCACCTAGAGTTTTATTTAAAACACTGAAATTATTTCTATGATCATTCCTTTCAAAAATGTAGGAATTATGTATGTTCTGGATGATCCAGTCTGGATCTTAATTTACCAAAATTAATAAAACCTATCACTGTTAAAGATTATTAAAGTAAAATTTAAAAAATAATGCATTAATTATTTAATTAAATTTATATTGGTGGCAGTATATATTAGTGTGAAGATGTGGTGAAGTTCGCAAAGTCGCAACGCTTGAGATGGTTAGGACACGTCATGAGAATGCCGGACGATAGACCACAAAAGCGAATACTCCATTTCACGCCGTATAATGACCGCAGCAGAGGTAGACCACGTATAAGATGGCTCGACAACGTGACTGAAGACATCAGGAAAATGGGTATACAAAGCTGGAGATCTAAAACATCATGCAAAGCAGAATGGAGAAAGCTGGTTGATGCAGCTAAAGCTCACCCCGAGCTGTAACGCTGATGATGATGATAATATATTAGTGTTATTACGAACATTTTATTTGAAATCAAGAAATAAAAAACTATGATTTATTATTTATATACAAATTATATTTTATAAAAATATTTTTCTGATATTTCGATTATCTGCGATAGTCATATTCAGGGATAATAAATAAATTAATAAATAATAAATTAATAAATAATAAATTATTAGTATTAAATTATATAATATATTATTACATATTAACGAACTTTATATAAAGCTATATCTAAAAAATTAATCATATTATCACTTGAATTATAATCAATTTTATAGTAAACAGTCTCTATCAAATGGAAAGTGTTAAGGCTTTTTTCGCCATACATTATAAATAATGTTTTTAATTATTTGGGTATTAAAAATTTTATTAATCGTATGTACCTATATTTATGCCATTTTATTCAGACATATTTGCTAAATATAAGGCTTGACAGTTTTATTAGACCAAAACAATCATATACGGTATAATTGAAGCGATATCTTGTATCAGTTTTTGACAAACACAATAGTAAAAGGAATACATTCCTTTTAGACAGACGTATTGTACTTGTTAAAGTACTAATTCTGGAAATTCATAGAAAAAATTTATTTAAAAAAAAATATATATATTTTTCAAATAAATAAGCAATTCATTTTTGGGAAATAGTTGACAAAATTTTACAGTGATAATCCTTAAATTTTACAAAACTAAAAATAATTCACAAATAACAGCGCTTGCCCGGGTGCAGCGAAAATTAATTGAAAACAGAACAAGAAAAGTTCTCCGCTAAACAATAAAGATTTGTGTGTAAAAAAAACATTAAAAGTGCAGTAATCCGAGTTCTTCATGTCTCATTGTCGCTGCACCGGTGCAAGCGTGTGTCCATAAAGTTAGCAAAATAGTTTACTTTGTTACATATATGCGCGACATCGTATAACCGCATTGTGTGCGAGAGTGATAAAATTTTTGACATCACCCATTATATTTCAGTTCATTTTGTTTTGATAATATCGTAAAAGCCATAAGTTAGAAAGAAACAATACTATTTTACAGTTGCTCATAGAATTGTCAACGAAAAACGTCGAAAAAGGCATAGAGAAGAAAGTTAGACCATTTTAAAAAATAAAACATGGCTGGAAGAGGTGGATTTGATCACGCTAGGTAAATATATTTAAATTAACTTGATAAAAATGATTAAATTCATATGCAAAGTACCTGTATAATGAATTCCTGAAATGATACTGTGGTAATTGATATTATGAAATGTAAATCTAATTGAGTAATGTTTTACGGGTTTTAATTGTCAATTTCGCATTTTATGCTGATTTGGGTGGACGGTGTATTGATAGGCAAATAATGTAAAAAGAGAATTTAATAAAATTAAAAATATATAAAGTTTAATTGCAAAACTAATAGATGTTTAAAATGTGATATTTTTTGTGATAATGGTATGGTATGGAATGAAAGTACAACTGTTCACAAGTTGTCGAAGTAGACTTTAGTTGTGTTATAATAATTATTTTAAAGTCAATAATTTTATTATATTTCGCATTAATAATTTATAATTTATAGTAGAATTAATGTTTCTCTTCAGTTAATGTTGGCTGAAATCTGTAATTACACAGTATCTTAAATTATTGTTAACGCCCGGTAAACAGGAATCAGTCCGCTATTTTGGCAACTGCTGAAAGAGGAAATGTGTAATTGGATTAACTTATTCGCTCTTTCTAGACACATTTTACCGCACTCTTTAGAGATAATCAGTAAAGACAGTAGCAAATATTAAAATGTAAAATTGTTTACTTATATTTGAACACATCATGTGTATTATATAATGGCTACTATGATTACGGAATGAAGGTAGGGAGCTACACTAACTGAGTGATATAAAGTGACATTTTCATATTATATGTCTATTACATCAGTTCATTATGTTTATTCATAGCGGAATTCAGTGTCTAGTATCCAATATATGCATAATTTCATCTTAAAGGTTAAGATCAATATGTAATTTCAATTTATACGGCATTTGGTAGAGGACCTTATTGAAGTTATTTAACTTTTCGGTAAAGTTCGAAAAGTTCCGTGCAAATGTATGTACATATATACTCTCTATATATCCACCAATTTAAAAGTAATTGGTTGTCGTAGTTTGATGCGCACTTATAAAACTGGTAATGCTTATTCTTCAACATATTCTCCAGTAAGTTTTAAGTATTACCTGTATACATAATTCCAGCGCTGGTAGCTACCACTGACTTTTGCCTATTTTAGTATATGTATTTGTGATCTCAGTTGAGCATTGACTGCTTGGGTGAATGACAGAGTTTACTTTGAAATTGATATAAGTTTAATTTACAAGTTTAATCTGTAATACGATTTCTTGCTACTCATTTCCCAAGAGTTTTCGATATATGGTCTTTTATAAGTGTCCTGGATGGATTCAGTTTCACCAATTTAACAATACTATATGTTTTCTCTCAAAACAATTGATTCATTATATGATTATTTGATTTATGTTGAACTTTTTCGAAATGTATCTGTCTAGGTTGTATAGCGAGATATGGGTGTATGGAGAGTTTATTTATTATCACTGAATTATATACAACTAAATTATGTATGATTTAATTATCTAAAATTTAATTATATTAGACTTATATATAACTTAATAATAATAATTGAAATGAAACTATTTCTGGTCTACAGGAATTATGATCGTCCTGCAAAACAATTACCTACGGAACCTCCATTTATCGCTTACGTTGGAAATCTGCCCCAAGGGCTTGTACAAGGTGATGTTATGAAAATATTCCAAAACTTCGAGGTGAAAAATGTGCGTTTAGTAAAGGATCGTGAAACTGATCAATTTAAAGGATTTTGTTATGTAGAATTCGAAACATTGGAAAACTTGGAACGAGCTCTTGATTGCGATGGTAGAATAAAAGTAGATGATTTATCTGCACCACTCAGAATAGATATTGCTGATAGAAGAAAAAATGACCGGTAAGTATAAACCGTTTATAATATTGTTTAAAATATATTAAATGTTTTAATAATATTCAATATTCATTATTGAGTTTTTATAAACCTGACGATGGTAAAAGATGTCAACTTGAAGTATCATTAGTGTAAAAATTTGTATTAAAGTTCGCCAATTATATTGGAGTTTTTAGAGTGAAATAGATGTTGTTTGTAGTAGCGCGTTACAGGGTTCCAATGCAGTTGAGCTAGATAATGAAAAACAAAAAGTATGACAAAAGAAAAGAAAGAGGAATTCACCTTATATGATAGTTGATAGGCATTATAATAGATAATAAAATAATAGATCTAAAATTGAAGAACTCTAATAATCTTACATAGGACTAAGAGAAAAGTAATGTGAATGTTAGATCTTGTAGAGAAAAATCTAAATATTGATTATAACCTAAGATCACTTCTCGGAACTTGTATAAAACAATACTATAATGTTTACTATATTATTGTTTCTATTTTTATATTCAATAAATATTAATATATAAAGTTTGTTTGCTGTTTGTAAGTAGCATTACGGCATTGACACGATGATATTGGTTAATTCTATAAAATAGAATTTTTTTTGAAACAGTCAGTCTATTGTAGATAGGTATTGGTTGTGTGAGAGAGGAGGAGATTATTTGGCAATGAAATTGGATTGGGGGCTGATTAGGATCAAGTGGGAGTAGGATCAATTTAAAGTCAACCAGGATAACAACGAAGAAACATAGCTTCTTCTATTGCTGCATGCGTCGGTTATATAGATGTTCAAATTTTACCAAGCTGATGCGTTGATTGGAACCGTGATATTGTTACGAAAGTATGCCGTTTTGTGAACGTAGAAACGAACCAAAAGACGTAACAATATCTTGACGAACTTTTACTTCAAATGAATTTCTACTTGAAATTTTTACAGGGTGTTAGTGAAGAATCAAAGTTTTTTGAATTGCTAATTTGTGTTTCCTTTGGAATGGATTTTGATTAACTCGTTAATTACAATCTCTTAATATACTATACAATATGCCGTTTTAACAATATATAAAGTATATTCTGACCAGACTCGGTAATTCGATATTCGATAAACGTATAATTCATTTTTGTGATTTTACTGCATTGCCGAGTTTTCAAAGCATCAGGTCTGATAATATTTTCCATTATTTTATGAACAACATAAAGACAAAAGAAGTTGATCATTTGAACGTTCACTTATAATTTCATACATTCAGAAAAAATTGAAGAAGTGTCAAAAATTTTATTATTAGAATCCCAAGGTGTTAAGTTGATCCGAAAACCTACACTATATATAATACAGGTAGATTAGAATATGGGTAAAGGCTTCAAGTGCTCTAAAGCTATCCGGTTTTATTAGATCCTCTGCATTGAAATACATAGAATGTTAGTTACTAAGAATATATATATATATATATATATATATATATATATATATATATTCATTGGTTCGTATAATAAATGTAGACATTGTATATGCGAAAATTGGGGTTAGTATAAAACGTTTACAACTCCAAACTTCGATATATCGAGAAGTAGGTTATATCGGCATATAGCTTAGAGGAAAAATAGTTCAGATTATGAAATTTACTAAGTTTACTAATTTGTCAAATCGAAGTGTTTGGGAACTTGAAATTGCTTTATTAAAAATTTTTGAAACATGTAATTGATACAGAATAAATTAAAAATATATTAAAATAAATAAATGAATACATTTATGTATTCTAAATTGAATACATTTGACATGTTGTTAAAATTTTTTAGAGGTGCTTCACAAAGCGGCGGTGGTGGTGGCGGTTTTAATAAGCGTGGACCTCCAAGACAAGGTGGTGGAAATCATCAACAACAATATAATCGTGGTGGCGGAGGCGGTGGCGGTGGCAACCGTGGAGATAATCGAGGCGATAATCGAGGTGATAATCGTGATAACCGTGATAATCGCGGAGACAACAGAGGTTCGTACAATGATAATGATAGGAATCGCGGAGGTGGAATGAATAGAGGCTACAACGGTAATTGTTGGAACAGTTTGAAAAATATCAATGAAACAAAAAAGACAATATTTTTAGTTATTAAATTTTTTCTAAAATTTTTTGTTAGTAGTCTTTTAAAGATATATGTGTAGCGTTCCCAGTTACTCCACATTTGTGCCCTATATATTTTGGCTCCACACGCATGACACAAAATTATTTAACTTTCCTTTAACTTACGTTTTAAACTAAATTACATATTGGTTTGTTAAACTATAATTTTGTTTGTTTATAAAAATTAATGAAATCTTAAATTTATATATTATTGCGTGTTTATAGATCATCGCCCTCTGAATCGTGGTCAATATGGCAATTTTAACAATGAAGAACGAAATTACGATCGCCCTCATTATGATAGAAATCATAGAGAAGGCAGTCACCGGGGTAATAATGCGCGCGAAGGAGGAAATGAACGATATAACAGCTTTAACAGAAATCGTGGTGGTGATCGAGATCGCCCGCATTTTAATCCAAATCACAACGATAGACCTCCGGCTTCATCCGCCTTGGGCAGTATAGGTATGTATTTATATTGCATAATGTACACATTTCATCATAAATTCTCATTGGCACCAAACTAGTAGGGTTTTTAACATCCCATGGTATCTTAATAGTCCTTTACTTGTAACAAGAACTTTCCTGGCTCAATTGAGGACAGAATATAGTATAGCACATATCCAATTTCCATGGCAATCCCAGTTCTAATTTTCATGACGCCGTATATCTGTTATCATGTCTCAACTCTTTAAGGTATTGTTTTATCAGCATGGCAATCTTGACATAGTTTAGTTTCAATTAATATCCACCGACATCTATTCTTTGTTTTTTTGGATTTTGAATATCAAAATAATCTAAATATCAAGCTTTTCTGATTCTACAGCAATGATGACTCCTTTGTTTTTGGTCATGTCTATGAAGGCCTGCTATATAAACAGTCTAATTAATTTTGACAATTTCGTACTGTTAGTACTATTTAGATTTTTTTACCTCGTCACTATTCAAATTTAATTCAAATTTCTCTACTCCTTTCACTCTAAAATTTTTAATTTACATTGAAAACAATAATTTCACATTTGACGTGACCATAACTGTCTGCATTATTCGGCAAACGGCCATACCATTCGTTGTTCTTGTTGAGGTCCGTTGAGACCTGTGAAGTAGATAACAGATGAGGTTTACAAGACAAATACATGGGTTGGGATGGGATTCAACATTCCCCAAAGGGACTACACAAGCCGTGACCATTCGTCGTTGTATTGTCCGCATATCATAGCATTTAGTTGACTAAATTTGTAAATGTAGTTTTATTTCATTTAGATAATTTAAATCATTGATTTGAATTATTATATTATCTAGTAATTTAGATCTAAACGTTAACTTAATATCTCAGTTTACTATTATATATTATTTAATGTTTGACTCTTAGTATTTGCATTATTATCATATAATACTAATTTTTTGAAAACACTAACTCTAAAAGATTATAGACGCAGTAAGTTCTCAAGTTTATTTTATCAGATAGCATAATAACATTATTACAAGGAAACCTTCTTTCCTATTTTGCAATGAGTGAATCATATATTACACATCATTTATTACACAAATCTGTAATAGCGTAAAATGGAAGATTGTTTGTCTGTTATATATATCAAACTCCATGTCGCATTTTATCGAAAACATAATATATCATCTCACTTCAGACATGGCTAAAAATCATTTTACAATACCATAGTAGTTTATGTTGCCTGATCTTTCACCTATTGTTTGCAATAAGTGAAAGCGATAAATATAATAAAAGTACTTTTTGTTTGTTTACTTTTCGTTTCAGATGATAGTGAAAGACCGAGACTCAACTTGAAACCGAGAACTATACAGGCGCCTATAAACGCGCTCGCGGAAACCAAACAAGCGGCATCTATTTTTGGTAATGCCAAACCGAGGGAAGAGAAATTGAAAGATATTCAACCCAGTACATCGCAGGATGATGAAAAGTAAAACGTGGGCTAAAGATGCAGAGATTTTTTAACGAAAAGAAAAGGTTTACAATAATAACAACATATATCGCTTAAACAACATAAAAAAAAAGAAAAAAACAAGTAACAGTTTTACAATTAATTATTCTCTAATAAATAATTTAAATAGAAAATATAAATGCCTAGACAGTAAATAGAGTAAAAAGAGAATCAGAGATTAGCGAATCGCGTAATATAAAAACAAAATATAAACAAAGTAACTACAAAAATAAAAAGTAAATACATTAAAAATTCTGGTAATTTTTATAAAAATTCAATGTAAAAATAGCTTAAAATACATAAAACAAAAAATATTCAAAAAAAAATATTATTTTACATATTTTTTGTTAATTTTTCTTAATAACTAGTTTCCCTTTTGACAACGTCCCAAGTTTGAATTTAAATAAGACAAAGAATTTTACAATAACAATTCACTAAAGGATTTGTAAACAATATATATTTAATTATTAATATATATATATATATATATATATATGATATATACATATACATATATATAAAATATATAAAAATGAATATATATAGTATATTTAAATATATATCGTATACATAAATATAAATATATGTAATATATGTATTTTTATATATATATATATGTATATATATAAAACTATTAATATAAAAATAATTAAAAAATAATAAAATTATTAAAATTAATTATTAAGTAAATATTAAACTTAATTTTAATATTTATATATAGAAATGAAGGCATAAACTCAAGAAAAAAACAAACAAAAACTTAAGCAACCAGAAAATATATACATATTTGTAATAATTATAACAAACTTACATTTAATTAAATACATATAAACGTATATATATATAAATATTTATTTATACAAATATTAAAAATATATATAATTTCTATATATATTTGCATATTATACGATTAATATTAAAGAGAAAAATAAAATAAAATTGAAACTTGATATTGTAAATTAAATTGAACATTTGAAATATATAAAATAATTTATAATAATATTTATATAAATAAAAAAGAAAAAGCAATTTGCAATAAAAGAAGTAAAACAAACAATTCACTCATTAATAACGATTTATTCTTAAGAATTTTTAAAATATATTTAAAATATTGAAGAAAAAGAAATTCGCTTCTCTATTCTCTCTACACTAAGAAATTTTTTTTGTGTTTCGTTTGCTTATCAATAGAAAGCAAAGCTAGACATTAAAAATTTTTTCTATTGTAACTTTTATTGAATTATTGAAAGAAGCTTCGATTGATTATTATTTTTATAAATAATTTTCAAGATTTTTTATTTATTCTGTAATTAAACAAAGGCACTAACTTTTTAGATACACGTGTATTTTTATTGTTTAAATTGGCGTTATGAAGTTTTTTAAAAAATTATTTTTAATTTTAAATTAATAAAGAGTATTTTTATTTTTGTTAAAATTGTGTTTACCCTTAAATTACTTCTAAATATTTATGCTTTTTAAGCATAAATATGTATAATTAAAAACAAATCTTTAATATAAAATATGAAGTACACTTATAAAATTAATGAATCTATATAAAAAAACAATATAAATTTTGTACACAAACCAAACGTAAAGTTGAAAATATATTACAACAGCATATAAAATTTAAAATATAATGTTTAATTAATACATCTTTTATATAAAGAAATAAAAAAAAAAAACAAAAATTCAAAAAATTTGCATACAATTATTAATTTTATGTTTATTAATTTAATAATTTAAAAATAAAATAATTCAAAAAGAGAAAAATTAAAGTATTGCTTTTTTTACTTAAAAAGGTAAATAAATTTAGTATATTGCTATATGGATCACTTCAATCAAAAAACTAGTCATAGTCGTTGTCGTGAAAAAGCTTAAAATGTCAAAAATACACAAAAAGTAATATGGTATAACAGGTATCATATTCTTAGAATTTACATTGAGTCTCTATTTAACTATGTATCTTTTTCTTTTTCAGAACACCTATCAAGATCGAGACTTATGGGTGATCCGAAATTCCAGCAAGTGATGATATTAAGTTACTTTGCAAACGAAAGAACTCACTTTATCGAAATTTCAATTTAATATGTGATATCACTAATTATAATGAATTGTGGTTGACAAGAAACTATAGTATATTTAAAAAAATAAATTAAAACAGTAAAAATAAAAGAAATTAAAATATATCCGTTAAAATAACAATATATTACAAGTGAAACTAATGAGGAAGTATTTAATATGACAATTTCCAATTTCTTGGTAAGTAGGTTATTAACAATAAATTAGAATTATTTGGAATAACAGTTGACGTCTAAAATACGAATACTCAATTTAAGAAATGTTCAATTTAACTAACAACAAAGTCTTGTCTTAATCCATAATTCATTATATAAAATGAATCCATAATCATTATTTAGAATGAATCCATAATTCATTATGTAGAATGACTCCATAATTCATGTAAAATGAATTCATAATTCATTATGTAGAATGAACTCATAATTTATTTTATAAAATGAATACATATTATATTATGTAGAATGAATGCATAATTTATTATGTAGAATGAATCCACAATTTATTAAATAAAATGAATAATTCATTATTATATAGAATGATTTCGTAATTCATTATATAGAATGGATTCATAATTCATTATATAGAGTGAATTCATAATTCATTATATAGAATAAATTTATAATTCATTATTTAAAATAAATTCATAACTCTTTACATAGAATGAATTCATAATTTATTATGTAAAATGAATCCATAATATATTATGTAGAATGAATGCATAATTTATTATGTAGAATGAATCAACAATTCATTAAATAGAATAAAGAATTGATTATATAGAATGATTTCGTAATTCATTATATAGAATGAATTCATAATTCATTATATAGAATGATTTCGTAATTTATTATATAGAATGGATTCATAATTCATTATATAGAGTGAATTCATAATTCATTATATAAAATAAATTTATAATTCATTATTTAGAATAAATTCATAACTCTTTACATAGAATGAATTCATAATTTATTATGTAAAATGAATCCATAATATATTATGTAGAATAAATGCATAATTTATTATGTAGAATGAATCAACAATTCATTAATAAGAATGAAGAATTGATTATATAGAATGATTTCGTAATTCATTATATAGAATGAATTCATAATTCATTATATAGAATGAATTCATAATTCATTATATAGAATGAATTCATAATTTATTATATAGAATGAATTCATAATTCATTATATAGAATAAATTTATAATATCCATAATTCATTCTGTAATATATTATGCAGAATGAATCAACAATTCATTAAATAGATTGAATAATTAATTATATAGAATGATTTCGTAATTCATTATATAGAATGAATTCATAATTCATTATATAGAATGAATAATTCATTATATAGAATGAATTCATAATTTATTATATAGAATGAATTCATAATTCATTATATAGAATGAATTCATAATTCATTATATAGAATGAATTCATAATTCATTATATGGAATGAATTCATAATTCACTATATAGAATGAATTCATAATTCATTATATAGAATGAATTCATAATTCATTATATAGAATGAATTCATAATTCATTATATAGAATGAATTCATAATTCATTATATAGAATAAATTCATAACTTATTACATAGAATGAATTCATAATGTAGAATAGTCAATTGTTTTTCGAAAGGTGTAGAAAAATAAAACTCGTGCGAAAAAATATATATAAATATATATAAGTCGCTATATAAGATATATTGCCTATATGTATTTAATATAAATTTATATCGTTATTGATTTGTGGTTCTATCTCGTTGAGGTGGGAAGATTTCTTTACCTAGACTCGGTTCAACATAGAATATTCATAGCTATCTCTCTCATTACAATTAAATAAATAAAACGTTTACGAAGAGAACTTTAACATATTTTTAGGCCAAAATTAATCCGCTAGATTCATATTATCCGTAGTTTCGGTTATGTTTATCAAATTCGTGGTTCACATTTGTACTTAAAGATTAGGTTTTTATAAATCGAGAGAACAAACGATGTTATTCTTTTTAACTAGCTATTTATTCAAAAAGAGTACGTTTAAAATGTGATTTTAAAAAATCATGGTGTGAGATAAATTAATTTAAATCCCAATTTAATGTCCTATTATTATGTCCTAATAATATTAATATTTTGATACTAAGATTTTTTATAAAATAGAATATAATATTGAATATAATTGTAAAAGTTGTATACATATATGACATTATAGTGAAGAAGTTTTTATCCACAAGTATTTATTTTTAATTAAGTACATTTTTGGGCTGATCCAAAAGCTCTTTTAATTATTGCTCACAACTTATCATCAGTTGTATTTGGAAATATATAAAATTCTATATATAATATTTGCACTGCAAGTATCAGGAATTGAAGCTACCCAAATTAGAATCGTGAATTCTCGTCCTACCTATCACACAAAGCATTTATTTGATGTCTACATTTTATACTAAAGAGTCTGTACAAAAGATCTTACAGGTCGCAATCCATGCGCAGCCAACCTATCCATAATAATAATAATATACTAAAGAGATCCTCTCTGATTTCAAGCGAAGTTTCTAAAATAATCTACTACTGTAAAATAGCTTTGGTGGTATTTATAATCACCCATATACATTCTAGGCAATGTATATGTCTTGTAAATTCTTTCATGTTATCTGCTTTTAGGTCTCAGGTTACCACTACAACAATCTAGTACTACTTTTGTCTATAAACCATAGACTTCTAATAAATGGTGAGTTCCGCATAACTTATAACGCTTTAAGCACCATACGAGCTAGTCTTATATATGTAAGAGAAGCCCTAATCCAGAGCAAGACTAACCAAGCCTCTTCTAGTGGCTTGCACCAGACCCTGTATACCGTTATTGTTTTTACACATGGCAATCTTATTTTTTATAGGAGCGGTCAATCTCATACGTTATATTACAAACATTTGAAAAAAAAACAGAGTTGTTCATAGTTGACAATACACAAAATTAGTTTTTATTTTTATTACAATTTGTTCACATTTTAATATATATATATATAATTTAATTAAGGTTATACAAAATATTTTTGAAAAATTACATACAAAGTTATATATTTGTTTTTTGTCATAATATTTAAATTGAATATTATATTTATTACAATTTCTTATAAACTTCTTTGAAAAATGTTGCTTTATTGTTTGTATTTTGTAAGTAAAAAAATTAAATGATTTCCGCTATATAAAAACTAATTGTAATATAGAAATATATATATATAATTTTTTTACATATATTTGTGTAAAGCAAAATTTTTTAAATATTTATAACATATATGCATGAATTGATTTAGTGATATAGATTATAATTATAGAAAACACATTAAGCATATATAATAAAACACATAATATAATATAAAATAGTTTGCAAAATATATAAAATTTATATGAAATTAAAAACAGAATAATATAATTATTTTAATAAATTTACTTAAATTTCCTTTAAAAATTTATTAATTTAACTAAATTTTTTTTACTCAAGTGAAGTAAATATTTTAATAGAAAACATAATCTTCTGGTTGTTATTTTTTTATATAGAAAATTATTTTGAAAAACTTTATTTTCTTATAAATTTGGTTTGTTTATTTAAAAATAAATGCGCATTCTTGTTCGTTATAAGTTTTTAGTTATATTTATTTAGAAATTTATATATATTTTCTTTTTATATTGCAGATACATAAATTAAAATATTACCACAATGGACAGTTTATAGAGTTAGTATTAAATTTTTATGGCATTTGTTATTTGTTCGAGAAATAGAGCAGAGCATTCGGGTAAGTTTAAGAGGGGTACTTGGTTATGGTGTCAGTATAAATAATAATATTATTTGATTAATATTATTTTGTTAAAATTTGATAAACAATTTTTAAAAGTTTAAAATTAGTACAGAAATGCTTATATATTCAAAACATTCGTTTTATATTTCTTTTAGTATATATATATATATTTATCAAATAAGAAACTAAAAATTATAGAAATAGTAAAAGAA